AAAAAAAAAAAAAAAAAAAAAAAAACTCTATGAATATGAGCTACAGCCTACAGGTAACACTGCCACAAGAAAGAAGGGCCAAAAAACTACCTATCCCACTTTAACAGGGGTCCCTTCCTGAAAAAGGGAAAAAAAAAACCATCTATCAATCCAATGCCCAGCATAAGATCCAATGAATAGGACCTCGCCGCACCACTCACCAAATGCAGAAAAGACAAATATTATGGCGATGCATGCGTCCATGTTTCAGCGGAAGATTCATTCTCATTTTACAAATTTGGTGGCTAGTGCGGCGAGGCCGATAAGCCCCGTTGAAAACGTTGAAAACGTTGAAAACGTTGAAAACGTTGAAAACGTTGAAAACGAATTCCTGCTCTTTCAACTTAAGGAGGAGTACTCACACTCGAACTCTTTTCCCACCGACCTCTGGACGTAATCGCGGTCAGATACATCCAGCTCTCGCTGAAATTGCTACCGGGTACATTATTCCGGTAAAGTCCTAGTGTGAATATGCCTTATTAGAGCGGAAAACCTAATATAAACCTATACGGATATTTTGCTATAATGCACGAGGATTGGAACCCGGATAGAAGAATGAACCTGGACGGGTACTTAGCTATCATGCATGAGGATGAGAAACCGGATAGATGCATGAATATATAGACCGACAGGATTTACTAAACAGCAATCCAGATCTGGAAAAAAAAACCCACAAACTATGCACATACGTGTTCTATACAAATTCAAAAACCATTCCTTGTCCAACTTGACCCTAATCTGAACCTGTCCATTGCGGATGGATAGATTCATGGCATTGTTATACTCATTGGCAGACACAACCCTACGGGCCTACTACTACCAGCGTCTGACCGTTCTCCCTCAGCGATAACCACGTACCACCAGGTCATGAGTTCAAATAAAGTGGAACACACACACACACACACACACACACACACACACACACACACACCAACATCAACACACCCAGATGATTCCCTTCCCCTCCCTTATGGCGGCAACACGTAAGAAAAAAAAAAAGGCAGCAACGCGTTAAAAAAAAAAAAAAAGAAAGAAAGAAAAAAAAGGCAGCAACGCGGAAAAAAAAAAATAAAAAAAAATCCCCACTTCTGGTTTTTCCTCGATTCTCAAAACCTTGCCTTCCCTAAACCCACCACTTTCTCTTCAATACGGGCAATCACACCAACTCTCTCTCTCTCTCTCTCTCTCTCTCTCTCTCTCTCTCTCTCTCTCTCTCTCTCTCTCTCTCTCTGTGTCTGTCTCTCTCTCTCCCCCTACGTAAATCCTCTTTAATGGTGCCCCTGGGTTTGCTTCTTCCCTCTGCACTTCCGGCCATTCCATTATCTCAACCCGTCCTCTCTCTCTCTCTCTCTCTCTCTCCCTCCGTAAATCCTCTTTGCTGGTGCCCCTGGGTTTGCTTCTTCCTCCTGTACTTCCGGCCATTCCATTACTCAACTCTCTCTCTCTCTCTCTCTCTCTCTCTCTCTCTCTCTCTCTCTCTCTCTCTCTCTCTCTCTCTCTCTCTCTCTCNCTCTCTCTCTCTCTCTCTCTCTCTCTCTCTCTCTCTCTCTCTCTCTCTCTCTCTCTCACACACACACACACACACACACACACACACACAAAACCAGTCATCGCCCCCTTGGCACAACCTTCAACAGCAGACCGAAATGATCGCTGGGCAGCACAGGCAGTGTCAGCATCTGCGTCTGTTTCTTCACCTTAGCCTCTTTCTGGTACGTCTCTCCTGGAATTGGCGTGGTGCCAATCATTTCGATATCAGAAAGCACAAAATCGTTTAACTTACAGAACATCCGATCTAGCCGATTCCTCAGTCGCCCTGTCAGCATCGCGTTCGCCTTGCAGTCGTAGGTCAGCCCGGGGTCCCCGGGACGCAGCTGCTCCCATGCATCTACCCATCCTTTGGGCAAAGGCGGCGCCCCATCCAGCTTCTCGTTCCAATTCATATCTCCACAGAACACCACGTTCTGTTCGTCCTTCAGCACCTCTATTGCTTCTTTTGCCTGCGCCACTCTCTCCCCACTAAACATCTGATTCCAGCTTGGGGGGGCTGGACATGGACTCTCCAGATGGGTCGTTGCCACCGTCAGATTCCGTCCATCATCCAACGTCACCGACGCGATACAGATCTCCCTTCCCATGATGGAGTTTCTGAACGGATGCACACGCATCGAGATCACAGGGATCCTAGACAAGAGGAGGACGAAGTAGGGTCTATTGATGTTGACGTTGCTGCTATTGTTGAGGCTGTTAGATCCACCTGGTAGGGGAGGATTCAGACTACACCATCGGTAATGACGACGCCAAGAGGCGCGGTCAAAGAGGGTGCATATGTTCGGCGTGACCTCCTGAAGGCAGATGACTTCAGGATCGTGTTTGTCAATCAAGTCTCCGAGAGCTTTCATACGAACATTCAGTGCCACGTCTTCCTTGAACCAAACGTTGTACGTCAGAATGCTTATCCCGCCCAGATTCTGTGAACGGATTGCCCCCCCAGACTCTTCATACCTGTCGGTATCCCTCTCCAGGTGTGATTGCGACGGTAGGTGTTTCTCCACAGGTACCCTATCAACTCCTCGGTGGTCAATCATTGGTCCTTTGGCGGCGGCGATTCCTTTCCTCACAGCATTTGCCCCGCCTCCTCCCCCTCCCCCTCCTCCAAATCCCCCTACTCCCCACCCTCCCCCTCCTCCTCCTCTTCCTCCTCCTCCTCCTCCTCCCACTACCCCTACTCCACGCCCGCCATCTGTTCCCACTACCCCTACCCCTCGCCCGCCATCTCCTCCTCCGCCAAATACCCCTACTCGCCGCCTGCCATCTGCTCCCACTAGCCCTCCTCCTCCTCCTCCTCCTCCTCCTCCTCCTCCTCCTCCTCCCACTACCTCTTCTCCTCCTTGTCCCACAACCCTGACCAGGCCAAGATGATCTGTTAGAGCGGAAAGACCCTCTTTTGTATTTCCTGTTTTCGTTTTATTCTCTCCTCCTCCCCAACCGATTAGCTTTTTTTCCTCCTCCTCCTCCTTCTTCTTCTCCACAGCATCGCTGTTTGTGTTCGTTGCCATGGCAGCAGCTGCCTTTCTTCTCCTCGCGTCGCGCTCAGCATGAAGCATGGCCAGCCACCGATTGTCCCCCAGGACTGGCGACTTCGGTACTTCGACAGCTTCAATCTCCAAGCACGTACTCCCTCCTTGCAGCACCGTCGGAGTAGACGAGTTTCCCACTGCAAGACCATGCTCAACCTTCGCTGGAGCACTTCTGCCATCTCCTATTCCACCTCCTCTCTCTCCTCCTCCTCCTCCTCCTCCTCCTCCTCCTCCTCCTCTGTCGGTATCTTCATCGTTTCCTCTCTGTCGTTTCCAACTCCGGAAAGGTCGATCTCGCCGCCCCCGCGCTTCCTTCTCATGTAGGAAAGAGGCCAGGCTGTCCGTCCCCTCCTCCTCCTCCTCCTCCTCCTCAAATTCTCTCTTCCTGTGCGCAGGTTTCGGGCCGCGGACCACAACAGACCGCGCCATTGTCCCCATCTCCCCTCGCTGCGTCGTTCCTGTAGCGCGCCGTTGTTCGGTGGCATCAGCGCGTCTGATCCCCCGCGCTCCCCCCGGCGCCCCCTCCTCCTGCTCCCGATAATACCTTGTATCTGGCGACCCCCCCATCCCACCCCTGCGACCTCGTACATCCGCTTCGTTCTCTTCTTCATCATCATCATCAGATACCTTCACCTCATTCACACCCCCCCTCTCTCCTCCTCTTCCACTTTCAACCCTTGTATTGTTTCCTCCATAGCCATCAACACTTGCGCAAGCATCGTCTCCACCATAGCCATCAACACTTGCATCTTCATCGTCATCACTACCTTCCATCTTCCTCGGTTCTCCGCACGCATCGCATTCCATCTCCCCATTAGGCCCCAAAGACGTACTCTTATTAACCAGAGTGCAGACGCTGCAAATCCACTCAGTTGCCCCTCCTCTACCTCCAGCTGGAAATTGCTCAGCCATTACCCTCGATATCATCGATCCATTTCCTAAAATGGGAACGGATGCCGATTTAGGAAATCGTTTGTCTAACCTCGGAGCGCCACAGACCTGGCAGTAGAGATCACCAACTTTGGAGTTATGGAATGTGCACGTGGGACAATCCCATGCAGCTGGCCGTGAGTCATCAGAGTCCATCTGTAAGATGATGATGATGATGATGATGACTGCAACCTGATCTTGCAAGAGAGAGAGACGAAAAAAAAAAAAAAAAAAAAAAAAAAAAAAAGAGCTTTCCTTTTCTCCTCGTGCCTCCCCCTGCCTCCTCGTGTCTGCGCCCTTGGCTCTTCCTGCCTCCGCCTGTCTCACCCTGTCTCCGCTTGCCTCCCCCTGCCTCCGCCTGTCTACGCCTGGCTCTTCCTGCCTCTGCCTGTTTCACCCTGCCTCCTCCGCTTGCCTCCCCCTGCCTTCCCCTGCTTCCCTCTGCTTACGTATGTCTACGCCTGCCTTCCCCTGCCTCTCTCTTCCTCCTCCCCCTGCCTTCCCCTGCCCTCTCTTCCTCCCTCCCCCTGCCTTCCCCTGCCTCCCCCTGCCTCCGCCTTCCTCCCCCTGCTTACGCACATTACGGGGATGCGCCTTCGAAGGCAACCAATATGCTTCTAGAGTTCGCCCGCTACGCAACTACTACCCGACCAAAGAGTGGATGCAGCAAACCAACAGAGTGAGAAAGGGGTGGGATTCATAGGAGGCGCGCTTGCAAGCGCTCTTGAGGTCAGGGGATCGAGGCTTCGCGTCAATACCTCTCCAATCCGTAGGAAGGTCGCCCACGTGCGCTGTTGGCGGCCCTCCGGGAAAAACCCACTCACTCCTCAGAGAGGGCGCACAAATAAAGCGCCTCTTTCGCGTACAGCCCTCCGAGCGCGACCGCCGGCTTGGCAATGCACGAGTGCCGCAGGCTATGGCGGCGCAGCTCGACGTCTGTGAGAGAGAGAGAGAGAAAGATAGAGAGGGAGAGAGAGAGAGAGAGGTCCTCCTAACCTCGCACGAGAGCGGATTGCATTGAGCGCTAACACGCCGCTGCCAGTCGGTTCCCCTTTACGCCTCCGTCTGTCGTACTTCTGAGGGACGTCTCAGTTGCTTCTTCTCTCTCTCTCTCTCTCTCTCTCTCTCTCTCTCTCTCTCTCTCTCTCTCTCT